AAAAATGGAAAATTCTGTGAGTAACCTAATTTTAAAAGGATACAATTACAGTACAAACATATTATTTGTTTAAAAGAAATCTTCATTCCAATAAGAATACATGTAATATTAACATTACAATATCTGACAGTAACTGAGCTGGACATGACATGCTTCAGCTCAATTACCTCGTAAAGTCATAAGGGCACCTCACATGAATGAGTCTTGAAGAACATCGAAGAAATGAAGAAAAAGGTGGGCAAACAAAAGACCCAGATTTCAAAAGATCACACATATTTGCAAAGCTAAGTGTGAACACCTGCCATGTCCGGGAAGCTTAATGAAGAATGCACACAAAATATGGTTTAAATAAATAATGAATAATGCAAAGTAACATAAAGTGGTTGAAATGCTAATACAAACTGAATATAATGAATAAAAATAATCAAGGGTTATACAATCTACCAATAAACCAGCCCTCAGAGGGGAATACTATGTACAATAAAGGAAGGAGAAAATATGCTAATATTTTTTTTTTTTTAAATTTTTATAATCTGGAGCTAAGCTAGGGAGAAAAATATGTGAGGAAATAAGTAATAGGTAACAGCAATACAGGAAATATTGTAACCAAAGAGCAAACTAACCTGATTAGTATCTAGTGCCCAAGACAGATACCAAGACTCTCTGTTCTTCTCTTTTGCTTCCCTTTCATATTTTTCTAACGTGCGTTTATCAACCATACCAGTTAAATATCTAAAAAAATTGCCATTAAATAATAAGTAAATTGTTCAATATTCTTGTGATTGCAACATCAAAATATGTAAATTCATACAATTCATTAACAAGAAAAATTAAAGGTTATTAAAAAAAGAAAGGGACAAAAAAAAAAAAAAAAAACTTGTATATCCTATTTTATCACAAATTTGCATTAAATGAACTTTAGTAAACGAGATTAATAATAATAATAAATAATAATAAAAGATAAATAACAAATGCAAAATGCATGTAATAGAAGCAAGAAGATTACTTAATTTATATTAACTACAGGAGGGCAATCAGCCAAAGTTTCATCCTAATACTGATCAAAAGCATTCCAAGCCCTTATATTGCTAAAATCATTTATCAAATTACATGACTAACATTGGTAAACTACAAGATACACTGCTGTGCAGTTTCTCCAGATATCAATCATATTTACCGCAAAAGCTTTTATCAACTTAAAATAATCAGTGTATTTAAATAGCTTATACACTTTGGTAATCGCACATAAAGTTCAAATTTGTAGTTTTAATCAACAGATATATATTACTTTTAATAAAGAATTTGACCCATGACCGAAAAGGGCGAGAAAAATTCAGCAATTATACTGACAAAAGTAACCAAAGTGTAATAACACAAACATCAATAATTAAGCAGATGTTCAATACATAATTTTATTAATTCAATATTGAATTATTCATAACAAAAACAGATTTTAGACAAAACAAAATTCTTTTTTTCTGGTTTTCAGATAAAACACCCTTCATTTTCAAGATATAGTTTGAAAGCCACATTCTTGGATAGGGTTTGCTCTACTAACATTTAAAACGAATGCCTGCAGTTAAAAAAAATCTAAAGGCATTTCTCATTTCTGCTATAAATGGTATTTCAGCATGCAGTTTTTTTTAAATTTTATTACTATATACAGTTGGTTTGTACATTTGTAGTTGGTTCTATTAAAAAAAGGGGAGAATATAAAAATTTCACAGATACAACTTTTTCTATATGAAATACTTTTTCCTACAAATGAATTCTGGTAAAACATGATTTCTACAATATCAGTTTTTTTAATTTATGGAAATCCTAATGTTTTGCACAATCAGTACAAATTCTGATTGGTTCATACTCAATACAATGGAATCATTCTCCACCAAAACCAAAGCAACTACCTCAGACAATTAAACCCCTTTTCTCTACTACAGTTAAAAAGTTAGCAAGCAACAATAGGAAGCAGCATCAGTTATAACTGCCAATATTAGCAGCTTCTTATCATCGAAAATTTAGAAGAAAAATCAAGTTTAGCACTTCAGATTGAGAAAATGTATTTAAAAGTCTTAACATTGAAAGAAATACAATAATTTTTTTGAAATTTTCAGCAATATATACAACTTAACGCTCTAAGTGATACATCTTTTTTGATCTGCTCATGAAGACCTGCATTTAAACAGCTTCTTATTAGGTAAATCTGTATAATTACTTATTTTAGTCTCTATTCTCATAAACATACATTCATTGTGATGATATTTACAAAATTACAGAAAATATTTTAGTAAAGCGGCAAAATATTTTGAATTATAGGTTAATATATACCAAGGGAAAAAAAAAAAAAAACTCCTGATTGGATTAAAAGTGGTCATGCCACACAGAGGGTTTATAAATATACATATTGTTGCGTTATCTTCTTTTCTGACACCAGTTGTTACGTTTTTTTCTTCCTTCACGTTCGTACGGGGTTCCTGAGGATTTGGAGTGAATAACGACGACAGCTACTTAAAGGAATATCGAAACACACTTTATTGGCCGGTATTAATGAGGACAGCTCCAAAGTCACGCTTTACAATCGTCGAAGATCTACTAAAAACTCGCTGGACACGAATCAGCGACACAGCCTTCAGGTTATCAGCCTATTAACGCTGGAGACAGCTTCACTGCAAAGCACCAGAGTACAGCTCACGACTCTGATTGGTCGTTTTTGGAACTCCACGTACTCTGGAGACTCTCCAGGCTACAACTCGCGATGCACTCGACGACACACAGCGCACAGCTCCCGACTCTTTGGTTCAGTCGTTCCAGGCACTCAACATGCTCTCTCGACGATGCACTAACTGTGATACAATAGGAGACTCTTTCGGTGCACTTAATGATCCACTCAGCACTTGCTGCCCGGCTGTCGACTCGATCGACTCTGCAGGGATTGACTCGCTAGACGAGACACCAACTCGATACTAACTATATCGCAGTCCAGATGAGGCACACTCTCGATACTAACTGACTGCGGACCAGCAGGGTTTATATAGCTTTCGGCTTGTGTTCGGGAACATTCTGGGCTAAATCAGTACGAATTTGTTCCAGAAGGTTCTGCAACCGTCAGGGTATATAGCCGATTTTGTCACCAAATGGGCGATTTCTCGTTAAATGTGGCAACCATTCCCTCCTTTGCCATTTTATGACAACCCTAAAACTGCTTTGCGGGGAAGGCATCTTGCCGCGCCTGTATATTTCGTAACAATATTTTTTCCCATATAAACTCAAAATATACAACTCAAATGCTGCAGACAGGCAAACTGAAATTTGAGGCACATCACAATTGATCCAGGATTTTTCGATTTTGATCAATGATCTGCAAACACAACCTAATACTTTACTCTGGTTTAATGCTGTCAAATGCACAACTTTTGAGGCTTTCTTCAGTGCTAAAGTAATAAAGATATACATGATCTATATGAAATGCTAGCAAACTCAATTTTTTTCAGTTTTAAATAACTTTCAATAAGCACATTTTGTGAGAGATGAACAGCATACATAAGAATTCACTTTACACAACTACCACATTTTTCCTATATAGTTGGCTTTAACTTTTATATAAAATATTACTAACTTAAAATTACAATGGTGGCCAAAATTGTGGACACTTTTGGAAATTTTTATGTTTTTTAACTTTGTATGCTTACAGAAAACGTTACGTTTCACAAAATGCAAACTTGTATATATCATTTAAAGAGAATTATTACTGAATTCAATACAAAACACAAAATTCAATTATTTGCAATACAAAAAATTAAACGATAATAGTTATCGATATACATTTGATAGTGATAATTGCAGTGAGTTATCAGTACTTAGTAGGGTACCCTTTATTTTGATTACAATGCTTCACATCGATGTTTCATTGAGCTGACAAGAGTTTTAAGCTCTTCTTTCGTTATTACATGATGCCAGGAAACAATTATAGCCTCAATTAGTTCCCTTTTATTTGAGGGGCGCCTCATTCGGACAAGAGTTTTCAAGCGGTGCCACAAATTTTCGATAGGATTGAGGTCAGGACTGTTTCCTCAATGGCCTGGCCATGACAACAATTTAATGCTCTTTGTACGAAACCACTCTTTCGATATTTTGGCTGTGTGGCAAGGAGCAGAATCCTGCTCAAAAATAAACGAAGCATTGTTGGGAAAGAGATCTCTGATGGAAGGTAGAAGTTTTGGTTCTACAATAGTGTCAATGTATTTTCTGGCATTCAGTGTCCCATCGATGACATGAAGGCGACCAATACCATCTGCTGACATGCATGACCAAATCATAACACTAACTGGGTTCTTCACAGTTGCTGAATGCAGTCAGGATGTAGCTCTTCTCCTATTAACGTCTTACATATTTTCGCCCATCACTACCGAATAACGATATCTTAGTTTCACCACTCCTGACCACTGATCATCTGTCCAATTAACGTGTTTCTTTGCCCACTGTAGTCTCTTTTTTTTTTTTTTTTTCCATTGCTGAAAATTAAGATAAGGCCTTTTTCGTGGAATTCTGATTCTCAGTCCAACATCTGTTAATCTTCTCCTGATTGTTCTTGAACTGACAGAAACATCAGCATCATTCAGATCACTTCTGATGCACGCTGATGACATTTTTCTATCTTGGAGACATAGTCTTTTTATTCTTCTGTCATCAGTAGATGTGGTGCACCTTTTCCTTCTTTGCTTTTTATTGAATTTGTCTCCTGATATCGAAAACAAAACTTTCGGACTCCAGATGTAGTCACTGAACCACTTACCCGCCTTGCAATTTCAGCATAGGAAAAACCACTTTTTCGTAACACAATAATAGTACATCTCTTTCTAGGTGTCCAATCTACTCTTTTATTTGATGTCATTGCTTCTTGACTACTATTAAAATTTTTACAAAATTCCTACTTGTAATTCAGTGTATAAGAAAGGTTCTCCTTCTACAGAACAAAGCAAAATAATAAATTGTTTCAAGTGTAAACATGATGTCAGCTTCTACTGGCAGTTACTAACATTTGATTGGTTCTCAGACAAGAACATTGATTGGCCAGGAAAGCTAGGACATACAAACACTTCATAACTGTGTTTTTTTTATTTATATTAAAGTATATAACTTTTTTGTATTGCAAAATAATTGATTTGTGTTTTGTATTGAATTCAGTAATAAATTCTCTTTAAAATGATATATACAAGTTTGCATTTGCGAAACGTAACATTTTCTATAAGCATACAAAGTTCAAAAATAAAAAATTTCCAAAAGTGTCCACAATTTTGGCTACCACTGTATAGTGTTAATATATACCAGTACAGTCAAAAAGTCGTTAATCGGGCTCGTTGGGACTTCGGCGATTCCGGATTATAGATCATCAGTTTAAATCTGGTAAATGGCATGCAGAAAATTATAAAATTAAAAATATGAAACCGTAATTACGAAATAAAGAAACAATTATGATCTAAAGGGTATCAAAATTTACAAAAAAAAAAAAGCTTAATATTTATTTGTTTACTTTATTAAACATTTCTTTCAATGTAAGTTGTTAAGGTTGCTTCATTTCTTATGTGATAATACATTCTCTTTAATTCTATAAACAGATATAATTTCTTGTTCAGTTACAAAGTTCCGCTGTTCAAGTCCCATAATTGCTGTGTCGAGAATACGGACTAATTTGTCAATCGAAATTTTTTCGTTTTCAATAACCTCTGTCACTTTTTTCGCTATCGAAGCTGACGAGGCATTTGATTTAAATCATATCAAAGACGAGTACATCGAGATGAAATACTAGATTGAGTAAGCAATTATAAGCCAAATAAAATAAAAACATCTGCCTTTAAGGATAGTGCTGACAGATCGACTTCTAATTCATTGCACGCCACCCCAGTGTTAAAGATAAACAAAGGATATGCCTTTATCCATTTTTTTGCAGCAATTCCACTTTTTGTTTAATGGACTCCGAAAGATACTTTCGCTTTGTATATCCTTTACGTATTAGTAAATATATATCGAAAATTCTATTTGACATAATCGAAAGTTTAAGCTTACTTTTATAAAATTGCTCTAACAGTCTGCAAAAAATAATAATCCGGATCCAATTCGAAGATTAAGGAACAACACAATCTGCAACATTAACTGAAATAGATAATTTAGCTTAGCTTATCCCATTCGTTATACATTAAACGCGCATTCGTAAACGTATTTTGCACACGCGCACACACAAATTCGCAGCGGTAAAGGTCTTAGACGCATGCGTCAAGCTTTGAGGTCCGGATTATAGATCATTTCAGATTATGAGTGTCCGAATTAACGACTTTTGACTGTATTTAATTTTCCCAAAACCTTGATTAACAGAATATGCCACGATTTATAAGACAGATTTAATATTTTAAAATTTAACTGAATGTTCTGAATAGCTGGAATTGTTTTCAACAACCATATCATTAGCAGTTCATTTCTCCTAGTTGTTAAATCATCTTCTTGGAATATTCACAATTGATTATTAAACCTATAATTGAGTAGAAACTATTAAGCAACATAATTTATTCTGCCAACTACATTAAATCAAATTATTAATGAATTTTTTATTTTCTTCACTTAATGCAATGCTGAGTTTTCACGGCAACTCCAATTCCCAGATATTGACATTTTCAGAAACTTACCAAATTAAATAATAACCAAAAACCAGTCATGTCTCCAAAAATTAATTTTCTCCCAAACCAGATTACATTTTATTCTCTAGATGTTATGTTTCGATTATCTCCATTCTGCATTAAATTTTATCACATTAATTAAATGAGACCAGCGTCTGTATCACTTCCATTGATACATCATGAATTACTTCTTTCATTTCTACATTTAGAACATCCATCTTAAGCTCTAATCTTATATTTCTCATGTCAAAAATATGCAGATATTATTCTTCCCTAAAAATTACCTCATGGAATTAAGGGTGCAAAAAATATGTATGCTAAATACCATATAAGTAAACAATCTTTTAAAATTTTATTATCAAGTGTACTTAAAGTCACACTTACAATAACTGACCACCAATTGTTGACTTGCCAGCATCTAAAATAAATAAGAAAATACAATAATTACAAATCCAGTTTGAAAATCTAAGATAAAATAGCATTAATTAAAGTGCATAAAAGGAACTAAATAATGCAATAGTCACTGATATAAAATAAATTTTCAGTGAATAGCATTTATAAAATAAATAGATCAAACTACATAATGACACATGCAACGATCCCCCTACCCCACAGCTTAACATTAAATTTTATCCAGTGTTATTAGGAATTATTATTTAAAAAATTTAAACATGAAATAAACATTTTCAGTTTTGAAGCACAACTGATTTGAAAGAAAGATTTTTAAAAACTTTGATATAATGGCTTTAACCAGATCATAAATCATAGATTGCAAATTATGAATTAATGGCATTCTGCTTTGTATGACTGTGTTAAGAACATCAAATTATGGCAAAATGAATTTATAAAAAATAAAAAAGGTTTGTTAAGGTCTGAAGACAAAAACATAAATATTTATTCTTTACACGATACACAGTAATTGGAAAATGTTCTCCCTGTTGAGCAATTTTTTATTTTGAGAGAAATTTGTACAGTCAAAAGTCGTTAATCCGGACTCGTCAGGACTTCGGCGATTATGGATTATAGATCATCAGTTTAAATCTGGTAAGGTGGCATGCAGAAATTATAAAATTAAAAATATGAAGCCATAATTTATGAAATAAAGAACAATTATAATCTAAAGGGTACCAAAATTTACAAAACAAAAGCTTAATATTTATTTGTTTACTTTATTAAGCATTTCTTACAATGTAAGTTGTTTAAGTTGCTACATTTTATGTGATAATACTTTCTCTTTAATTCTATAAACAGACATAATTTCTTGTTCAGTTACAAAGTTCCACTGTTCAAGTCCTATAATTGCTGTGTTGAGAATACCGACTAATTTGTCAGTCGAAATTTTTTCGTTTTCAATAACCTCTGTGTCACTTTCTTCACTATCGGAAGCGATATTTTCTGAGTCTAGAACCATACTACAGATTTCGCTGTCCGTTAATTGATTTATGATTGGGGCATTAACGTCGCAATGAAAAACTTCTCTTATATCATCTTCATTTATTACCGCTTCTCCACATTTCTTTACAAAATCCAATAACTGAAAAATTTCACCTTTAGTTTTTGATGTCCGAAAAACCTTCAAATTCGCGGCTATCATCTTTATCCTCCTCACCATAAAATATGGTAGATGGCCATAAATTATGCCAAGCATTTTTTAACGTACCTGGAGACACATCCTCCCACGATTTTGCGATGCTCCACACGGCAGATTTTATGCTAAAAAAGTTTAAAAATTCTTGAATAGTCTTGCCACTGTTCAAGAAATTTAACATAGATTTTTAAAATGCTGCTTTATATTTGCATTTCAGCGCGTTCACTATTCCCATATTCATAGGCTGAACGATAGACGTACAATTTGAAGAGAAGAATAATACGAATACATTATCTTTCACTAAAACTTTAAGTGAAGTATGCGCCGAACAGTTATCAACAATCAGGACTATTTTTGATTTAACAGGTAAACCAACCTAATTCAAATGTTGCCGAGCAGGGAAGAACAATGTGAATACATTATCTTTCAATAAAAATTTTAGTAGCATAAACTGAACAGTTGTCTATAATCAGGACCATTTTTGAGTCATCAGGTAAAAAAAAACAAATTCAAATGTTGCTGAGCCTCGGGTATAAAATGATTTTCAAACCAATCATTCATCAACATTTGTGTCATCCATGCTCTTTTATTTGCGCGATATATAACAGGAAAAATCGTTACTCCTTTAAATGCTTGAGGTCGTGCATGTTTTCCGATTACGAAAAGTTTGGACTCGTGCGTTCCTGCAGCACTTGCGCATGCTAAAATTGTTAGTCTCGCTGTGGAATCTTTGACACCAGTTGGAGCCTTTTCTGTAGAGGTTGCCATGGTATTTCGCGGTACATATTGCCAGAAAAGACCAGTTTCATCAGCATTGTAAATTTGCTCTGCAGATAAATGTTCATTAGTAATGAATTCATCTGCAAATTGTTCAGCAACTTTAATATCAGTTGAAGATTTTTCACCTGAAATTTTTAATTGTCTTATACCATGGCGATTTTAAAATTTTGTTAACCAACCTGTCAAATATGTGCACTCTCTGTTTAAGTTCATTTCTTCATGAAATATTTTGCCTTGAGCCATTACCATTGAACCCATCAATGGCACGCCCTCACTGCGACGCTGTCTGACCCATTCAATCATCACTTTGTCATGATCGTCACTTTTTACATAACGAACCCTTTTTCTGTAATTCATTGCAAGTGGGGTGTCGGAATCCACAAAAAAATAAAAAAGTTCCTTTTTCTTTTTGCTTATGTCATATACAGTTGACTTTCCAATGTTATACTCCTCGCATAATTTTGAGATGGATATGCCTTTATCCATTTTTTGCAGCAATTCCACTTTTTGTTTGATGGACATTGAAACATACTTTCGCTTTGTAGATCCTTTGTGAGCTCCAGCATCGGAAATTCTATTTGACATAATCGAAAGTTCAAGCTTACTTTTATAAAATTGCTCTTACAGTCTGCAAAAAATAATAAGCCGGATCCAATTCAAAGATTAAGGAACGCAATCTGCAACATTAACTGAAATAGATAATTAGATAATTTTAGCTTATATTGTCTGTTATACATTAAACGCGCATGCGTAAACGTATTATGAGCTTGCGCACACGCATATGCGCAGTCGTAAAGGTCTTGCGCGCACGCATAAACGCCTATGCGCAGAAAGTTTGTAGCTTTGAGGTCCATATTATAGATCATTCTGGATTATGGGTGTCCATATTAATGACTTTTGACTGTATCAGCTTTACACTTATTTTTTGTAGCTCAGTGATGCAGAAATTACTTTTTCTCAAACCTATTTTTAACAGTGGAAGTAATAACTACATCTCCTTTTACTTTAGGCATTTTATAAACTTTCAATAGAGCTTTTTATCTTAACTCTAGAAGCATTTACTACTTTAAAAAAATCAAGAAGTGGTTTGCACTGTTTGAGGATTCTCGATAAAGAAACGAGTTTGGTTTTCTAAGTAATCTGGGGGGGGGTACCAAGTGCTTTCAGATGCCCAAAATCACGTTTTTTTTTTTTTTTTTTTTTGTGTGTGTGTGTGTGCGTGCGCACGTACTTGCTAATAACATCAATAAGCCAAGCTACACAGAAATCGTGAGAAATTTTAAGAATAAGAAAAAATCGGAAGAAATATGTTGTAAATTGCGTTGGCAGGAGAACTGTCGAAAATCAAGAATCTCCCACCCAAATGCGAGAGCTGGCAGCTGTGTAGTTTTCCCAAGTAGCGGAGTAGGTAATGTCTGTGTTTCAATTGATTGAAAAGGCATAAGTGTAAGAAACATTGGTATGAGACTGAAAACTATCTACTATTTTCTTTGCTTCTGCATGGGATATGTTTTAGTTGACCTTTCTATTATGTACTTCTTTTTTTCCTTTTCTATTTCTTACAAGATCTACAATATTCCAGATGCTATTTACGACACCTGATAAAAAAAGCAATGTTTTTAAGCAGCCTTTATTGTCGTGGTCCACCTCTGAGCATCTAACACAGATAAGATTGCCACGACAGGAGGATTCAGAATACCCACACATCAGATAGGGGTTGTATGACCTCACTGGACAGTTCATATAATATGCTTTCATAGCTTTGAGAAGAGGCAGAGTGTTAAACATTAGTATAATATATCTTATGTTTACAAGTTGAGCATTTAAGTGTATCTTTATTCTTCGCACCCTGCACACGTTGCTTTTTAGTTCAGCAATAATTTCTTCCTCTGAAACAACTATTAGATCTGATTCTGAAATGACATCAGGCAAGAAATTTAATTACTTATGAGAAGAGATTTTTATTTGTGTGTTTCCTAGGCTCGTTAGCTTGGAAACTGTGGCTATCTGTTTGGGAGATGTGGCTTCTATAAGTAAATCACCAGAAACTTCTTGATGTTCTTTGGTTTGCCTATTGCTGAAGTTATGTATTTGTTCATCAAAAAGGGTGACGTTTTCTGGAATTCATCATATAACCAGAAATCAGTTTTAAATAGATCTTAATTCAGGATTAATATATGTTTCCTTTAGTGTTTTATCAATTGTTTTCCCAGTTCCATAGTTTGCGTGAGAGAGTATATTTTCCAGATTTAGCTAATGATTTATTACAATCTGCGGTTAGTTGGTTTGAAAAATACAATTAATTAAGAAGCCACATTATAGAAAGAGAATAAGGAGAAGCAGTTATCTGCACCAATGCCAGTCATGTCTATAATGTGAATACAGCACCCATGAAGCAGCCCTCTACCCTTAACAAGGTGCCCAGCAGATGGCTCCGATTGCTTAGCACCAGAGCAAAATGAAACACGAAAAGCCAGCTGATATATACGAATCCAATATATGCCTCTCATTTAAACTGAAGCAGAGGATAAAGCAGTGTGTTGGGGACAGTATCTCACCCCTCTACTACCAGGCTCCTCCTTTCCAGCCTGGTCTCCATAAATGGCATACATGCAGACAGTTTTCTCTCTGAGAAGTTAAAAACAAAGGATGTAACAGCATTTCACTTTCAGCCTCCACCTCTGAGATGGAAACCACAAGGGAAGAAAAAAAGAAAAAAAAGCAGAGACTAGGAAAATGGGAAAAGAAAGGAGAAATCACCAGATCAAGAGTTCCATAATACCTGTCTCACCTATAATGTGAGCTCCTGAAGGACTAGGGTACCTCAGGATTGCACACATGTACTCACAATTACTGACCTGGTGAGTAAATTTCCTAAAAAAAAGTGTGACCTATACACACATAAATATAGTAAGTAAACAAATAATTACATACATAATTAGTTATGTATTATGCTGTCGACCGTGAAAGCTGGTTACCACTGAACCAATTGTTCTTATGGAATTCTGAAGCAACTGATGCTTCCTTATTTAAAAAACAATCAGTATTCAACTTGTTTCATTCCTGCATTCTAAAAAAAAAAAAAAAAGGTTTAGTCAGATTTCTACTTTTTTTTGTTTGACACTCTACTGTTCAGAATGCCATAAATTTTACACTAACTGTTCCAATCTATTACTGTTTTGTTGGCCATATCCAGCAATTCATTTTCCCATTTAACAGCTGTTAATTCACTCATCTAGCTGTAAATGAGCTGGAGTGCAGTCACAAATGTGATACTATTGCCCTTGAACCGGGTTCTTCTTAAAATGGATATTCTCTTGTCACAATTCTTGACGTATCATTTTTGTTTCCAAATAAAGTACCACATTCTGCCCATTAATACACTTTTTTTTAAATTTGTTTAATTGAAAATAAGCCACTGTTTGCAGTTCTGCAGAAAGTGTATCCCAAAATTTTAATCAATTTTTTAAAGGGGGGAAAACACATAATAACAATTCATATCTTCATCTATAAAAAAAAAAAAAAAAAAAAGGGCTTATTGGAAATCAGCCATAGTTGCACTTAATGAAAGTGCAGTTGTTGTGTGTTGGGTCATGTTTATCCATAACTGATGCTAAATCACACTATTTGGTGTCAGTTTCATTACAGTCGACAGGATAACATCAAGTACCTATAATTATGCAATGTGAGGTCTAACAGTTCATACATATTATTATGCTAAAAATTATTTTTGACGAAAGCTACAAACTCTTTCAATACAAACTACTCGTTTTTTATGTATGATACAAGATATTTTTCAAGAATTTGCTTAACATTTTAGGTCAATTCCAAGGAGTCAGGGTCTTCAAGGTTGACTTAGAGAGTAACTAGAAGAATGAAAATTGTTACACTTAATTAATATCAGTAATGAATGTTTTTTTATGCTCTGTTGCTAGTTTAAATGCATAAAATGCTCTTAATATAAAGTTTAGGAAATTGCAAATAAAATTTATTAAATAAAAAATATTACTAACCTACGTGGCCAATAAATACAACATTCACATGCTCTTTTCTAACACCTTCTTCCTCTTCTTGCAAGACTTTTTTTTTACTCTTTGATACTATTTCTACCTCTTCTACTATTTCTTCATCATCATCAGCTAGATGATTATTCTCTATATCTACATTTTCCCAATCTGAAAGGAGGGAGAAAAATATTAAATAAAGGAAAAGCACTATACAGATTAAAAACAATTAAATGAATCAAAGCATTATCTTAATAGTCTGTTTTAAAATATAAAGATATTCAAAAAACATTTTATGAGTTTTCACAAAATTTCCACTGAGTTTTTAAACAAACACAGCATGGATATAGGGTAAATACACTTTATCGGAATATGTGAAAGATGGATATTAAATAAAACTACATATTGACAAGAGACCAAACATGAAAAGCGGCAAGTGAAGAAAAAGCATACAGTTTGAGAACTGGTTCAGTAACTGCAGTACACTGTTTATAACAGCAGGGTAATTTATTTATTGTTATGCAGAGGAACTGATGTTGATTAAGTGGTGGGAGATTAGCCTTCAAGAAATCACAACTATTGACTGGAACAGTTCTTTGACAGAGATATTTTTTCCTCTACATCTAATCTGACAACTAAATATATAGCCCTGGGAGGGAAGGGGGGGGAAACTGCGGACAAAAATGAAAATTTATTCTTATTGGGGGGGGGGCAAAGCTGGCTTTTTTTTTTTTTTTAAACAATTATGGTGATCCAGCAGGTTATGCCAAGAAACTGGTAAATTTTTTCTTCATTCAAGTTCTAAATAGAGGGGCAACTACAATCGTGGCAAAAATCATTGATCATGTACAAGAGGGATTGACTATTAATTCAGAATGTCCATGAGCATATAAAACAGAGAAACTGGAAAAAGCATGTGAGAAATATTTTACTGCAAATCAAAGTTTGCTTTATTGATTCAACAACAGCTGCTCTTATATAAAATATTGAAAGTCAATGGTGCTTTGTTACATCATGGGATAAAAATCAATGAAACACGGTTTTTACTTATGACACAGATGTGAATCAATGTGTAATTTACCACTATCAATAATTTAAATGACACTCACTTCTGAATTCTGTCTAAAATAACAAATTTTATCGAACCAGTTTCCCTTAAAAAGTCTTCCATGAAGGCACACCCATTATACAGATAGCACTAGCGTCCTTTGCCATAATCATACAAATCAAGGCAATCAATCAACACTGGCTGAGGAATTAAAGCGGTGGCATACACCTCGCGCATGTAACTGTTCCAGTCCACAGTATTCAATAGATGCCAACTTCCTAACACCAAAAAAAAGATTAACCTTACAGCTGTAAGGGAGGGAAGATACTTTTCTGTTTTGCCAGCGCACACGATAAACTCGTCAATAATGGTACAACTGATGCGAAATGGAATATCTTCGCTGGTAACGTTTTACGCGTCATTTTCAAAGCAAGTCACAATTATTTCTTATCAGATTGATTGTTTCTTTCAATACTTTCAATAATTTTCTATCATGAATGATGGTTTGTTTTTCTTTGAAAAAATTTCTAGCACACTTTTTGTTGACCTGAATTATTAGGTCTACAGAATTATTAAAAATTCAAAAATTAAACAAGTATTTCAACGACGATTTAAAAACCTAAAACTATTTAAATTTATGAGCATTTAGAGAAATCTAAATCTACACATGGCTTGCGATTAAATGGGTGTATTTGTTACATTTGGTGCTTTTGCTCATATATATTGGTTGCTGTTTTGAATGGTCCCAATAACAGAATTGTATGAATTTTTCTTATGCAATGATAACTAACATTCTGATGGCCACTGTTTCATAATCATCTAATTTTGTTAGCCAATATCACATAGTAGAGTTACACAGATACAACATGACGGTGCCTGCAAATATTAATCAGCATAATTTAAATTATGCAAGACTTCAAATTCGACAATCATTTCAGTTATTGTGGGATACATTTGTTTCAGTTTTTTGAACAATTATTTACAAATCTTGTGAGTATGATAACAGCCAGAAATATAAATTAGATATTTTATATTAGAATATTCAGTTTTTTGAAAAATTATTTTTAACAGTTTTTCTTGTGGTGCGTATGGATAACAGCATGAATAAAAAAAAGAGATTATATTTTATATTAGAAGATTTCAGATTTTAAAATTATTTACAGTTCTTGCGAGTATGATAACAGCCTGAAATATAAATTAGATATTATTTTATATTAGAAAATATCCTGAAATAATTTTTAGAAAAAAAAAAAGTAAAATAATTTACAAAAATAAGTAAACAAAAAGAATGAAATTTACTTCGTGTAAATGGTGTAAAGTACCTACCATTAATAAGATTATCATTTACGGTTTGCGACAATTTTAATCTATTTTAAAAATTATTGCCTTAAGTTATTACATAGAAATAACTAGGAAGGAAAAATTTCCAGTGCAGTTTTCCCATTCTGTCACAAAACGTAAAATCACTACTCTGGTTTATTATGTAAATGAAACAGGTATTTGATAAGAACTATGGAAATAAAGTTTAGCTGCTAGTAGGTGTTACAGTAGAAACTTGAATATTTCAAATGAGGAAAGGAGGAAATAAAAATTTTGTGAGAAGTCTCATGTATTGTTATGTTATTCCAAAGCCACAACTAGGATTTCAATTGGGTTTTCTTAAAATATTAGCTTTGAAAAAATATCTTTCATTTACATAACATATCCATACATAAATTTGTACAAGTACACACAGAAATCTTTAGATGGCTCAAAAGTCTAACAGGTTCATAGCCACATTTTAGTTAAAAAATAAGCACCATAAGCACTTTTTCAATGCACACTTTAAGAAAAACAAATAATGTCTAATTAAATTATACACAAATGCATAACCTAAAAATAGACTTGAATTTAAAATAGGAGAAATGCAGTATTTATTAAGAGAGAAAGCATTACCCACCATGGAAAATAATTTTACTTTTTTTTTTTTTTTAAATTTTAAAAAACAGTTCAATTTACAGAACTAGTTTACAATGAGAGGGAAAAAAAAAAAACTATGCAGAACTAAACTATATTACCAAGATTTAATGATGAAATTCAGTTAAAAAATAGAGAAAATAAAAATAAATAATTAAAGGCATATTTATTGTATTCACTTGGGACCTAATAATAAACAAATACAATTTATTTTTTCACTCATATTGAATATTTTAATAATTTAACTAAATTCTGAACATTTTCTAAATTTTACTGTATATCAGTTTTTCCTTAACAGATATTGCAAGCAAAGTAATCTTTAAGTAAAAAAGAGGACATTTTGAAATCAAAAGACAGAAATTGCTTCATGCAGTCATCCTTAACAGTAAAAAGCTTAAACTAATCCGCATACTTGGAAATTGGGCGAATATTCGGGACAGTCGCCTAACTTGAAAAAGAGGAGCGGAGGGGGGGGGGGGAGGTAGACGGACCCCACCTTTTTTAACTTTTCCCGCTAAATAAGCTTTTGACTTTCGATATGCGCACATATAAATACAACCATGGAACTGAAAAAATTTTTGCTTAGCAAGCACAGTAAAAACTCTTTTAAGTGTTCATAAACACATCTCGGACGACATTTAATTAATCTCTGCAAAAATATCGCAATCTTATTGCGCAATACGGCGCCGTAATTCTTCCCTACGTGATATTATGCAATCGGAAATCCCGCTGCCGGTATTGGGAGACTAAAGACTAAATAACTGGGGTGTTTTTTTCCTCTTTTCAACCGACGGCGGTAAATTTTGAATAGAACACTCTTCGCGAGTTGGTAGACCGCATTTTAGTCTATTCATCAAGATTGGAAAGTGACCAAAAAAAAAAAAAAAAAAAAAAAAAAAAAATCCGGTTGGCTTGTTTTGCAACGACTTAACAGTTTCAATATTCGAGATTTTGCGGAGAAAGGGAAGAAACCCCAATCCCAATCTTCGTACTGTTAAAATGTATTGGCCAAAAAAAACACAATTATTTTGGACTATTCGATTACTTTCCCTTATTTAAGCCATTCCGAATATTATTCCTTAGAAAGCTAATCTGTGTTAACCACCAAACATTTTTGAAGTTACTATACTTCAGCAGTTTACTGCAACTATGTTATATAACCTTTTTCAACATATGAATAATGTAAGCATAACGATCATAAAACACGAATGAAACTGACCAGTGGAACGGAATGCAAATTATAAGATCTTGATAGAAATTAAATGTGTGTAGTATTGGGTGGAGGAAAAGAATGCCGAATGTACCGGAATTTTTATGCTTCTTTCTTTGACTAGAAACGACGTTCACCTGTCTGTACTCATTTGCACACCCAAAGGTTAGTTAATTCAGAGAAAAGGGGGGGAAAAAAGCTATTTCCGGGAGTCTGATTCACCATCTGACATCCAACATTCCATATTGGAAGAAAGTTGTTTATTTTAGTTTCGGCTTTGGTACCGGAAAAAATAGCATTCATTAAAAAAAAAAAAAAAAAAAAAAAAAAAGCAAAAAAATATGCACTAAAAACAAAAAAAAATAAGGGCTTTAAAGAAAAAGTAAGCACCTATAAAGGCCTTTATATTTTATTTTCAAATATAAGGACTTATAAGCACTTATAAGGACTGCTACGAACCCTGTCTAATCATGTTCAAGTACCTACTCATTCGTTTGTTCTGCAAAGCATCAACGAAAAGTTTGTACTAATCACCTAATCAGCACATCTTGAATATATACTGATGACCATTTAAATTCAACACCATGAAAAACAAGAGATAGTGGTTAAGGTATATTTGAGAATGCCCCTTGGATCATTGCTAAGTTGTTTTATTTATGGTAACCTGAGTATATTATTATGATGAAAATCCTATTATACGCAATTGGTTGTGTGATTGTGACGAATTTGACTGATGGGAAAATATTGTTGGATGTATGTCGCATATTGTCTGCTGTGCATCATAAAATGGCTGCTGGTGGTGGAGGTACAGTACGAGAGAGTGGAAGTTTTTTTTTCAAGTGTTTGAGGACAGAAGAAAGGAAACTTTGTAGGATGTAATTCAACGGAATTATAAGTGTCCTGTTTGTACAAAGGAAATGTGTATGGTTGAACGTAAAGATCATTCATATGGCTTTG